AGTATAAAATACTTGAGAAAAGCTCTAATGAATCTTATCAGGCACTGTGGATCGAAATTCAATCACCGAAGAATGCAAACATAATATGTGGTGTTATTTACAGGCAACACAATTCACCGGAACGTTTCTTAAGCTATTTCGAAGAAACTATTGAAAAAATGAGTGCATCCGGTAAACCATTTACCTAATGGGCGATTTTAATATCAATCTTCTTCGTTCTGAAACATGTAATCACGCTCAAAATTTTATCCTCTCTATGCAAAGTTTCAGTTTAATGCCTACTATAGACAAACCAACACGCGTACATAATGACTCGGCAACTCTCATAGATAATATTTTTGTAAGTAAATTAGAAAATAATAGTACATCCGGAAATATTGTCTCAGATATAAGTGATCACTACTCTCAGTTTTTTATCACTCATTCGAACGTAAAAGCTAAAACTAATTTTGCAAACAAACATTTAACTCGAGACTATTCAAAGTTTTCAGAATCCAACTTTGTCAATGATCTTTCCCGTACTGGTTTGAATCATGCTGTTGATTTGAGCGAAAATGATATAAACAAATCGTTTTCAACATTTTACAATAAGTTAAATACAGTTATCAAAAACCATGCTCCCCTTAAGAACATTTCTAAGCGTAAAGCAAAGCAGTTAACAAAACCATGGATAACTAAAGGTATCAGGAAATCAATTAAAAATAATAATAGGTTATATAATCGCGGTGATAAGGATAAATATAAATTCTATAGAAACAAAATTTTGACACTCACTCGTCAAAGTAAAAAGGAATATTATCATAGTTATTTTGAGTACAACTTTGCAAACGCTAAAAAGACCTGGGAAGGTATAAACGAATTAATTAATCGGAAGAAACAGTCAACTAGACCCATCCCGTCTTTAAAATGTCCCATCAGCAACAGAATGATATATGATGAAAGTAAGTTTCCAAATATATTCAATAAATACTTTTCATCAGTGGGTCATAATTTAGCTAGTAAAATGCCAAATTCACAAATTCCATTCACAAATTACCTTCCAAAGATAAATAACCGAGGATCGTTTCAATTTAATCCTATCATGCCGCACGAGATCGAAATAGAAATTATGTTAATTCCAATGAAAAAGGCACATGGCCTATACTCATGCCCAACTCGTATTTTAAAATGCGCTAGACACGTTTTATCCAATCCTTTATCTGATTTAATGAATAAATCGGTTGAATGCGGCCAATACCCAGCTAAATTAAAACACTCAAAAGTTATCCCTATTTACAAAAAGGATGATGAAACCGATCCTTCTAATTATAGACCAATATCTCTTTTATCCATCTTTAATAAAATTTTTGAAAAATTGATGTATAATCGTTTAAAATCTTTTCTTGAGAAACAAAATATCATATTTAAGTCTCAGTATGGTTTTCGGGAAAAATATTCAACTCAGTACGCAATTTTAGATATAGTAAATCAAATCCAATCTAACATGTCTCGTAAATTGTTCACTTGTGGTATTTTTATTGATTTGCAAAAGGCATTTGACACTGTAAACTATTCAATACTTTTAGAAAAATTGCATCATTATGGAATAAGAGGCATCATAAACGATTGGTTTTCCTCTTACCTGTTAGGTCGTATCCAAACTATTCAAATGGGTGTAAATATATCTGAAAAAGAAGAAACTCTTTCTGGCGTTCCTCAGGGATCTGTCCTGGGACCGCTACTATTTTTAATTTATATAAATGATATTTATAACTCCTCTGATAAGCTGACGTTTTCCTTATTTGCAGATGACACCAATTTATTATACGCTGACAAGAATTTAAAAACACTAGAAAATATTGTCAATACAGAACTTCTTAATATCTATAACTGGTTAACAGCTAATAAATTATCCCTAAACATAAAAAAATCTAATTTCATTATTTTTCATTCTTACCAAAAACGGCTGGATTATGCGGTAGATTTGAAGATGTATGATGCACAGTCTAATACTTTCGTCTCACTAGAAACTAAAAATTACATTAAATACCTTGGTGTTCTCATGGACTCAAATCTTTCATGGAAATTTCATATTGGGTACATCGCCTCTAATCTTAGCAAACGAATTGGCATAATTGCTAGGCTGCGTCATTTTGTACCAGTTAGTACACTAATAAGTATCTATAAGTCCCTTATGCTGCCTTACCTAACTTATGCTATTGTTGTATGGGGATGTGCTGCCAAATGTTACTTAGATAAAATCCTTAAACTCCAAAAACGTGCTCTTCGTTTAATATATTCTGCACACTATCTGTCTCATGCCATTCCTTATTTTCTGTCAGCTAATGTTCTGCCAATAAACTTGCTTTATTGCAAATCAGTATCAATACTAATGCATGACGTATCAAGTTCAGTGGTACCCCCAAATATTTCGGCTTTGTTTACCCCATTAAGTCAGGTACACGAACACAACACCAGATCTTCCACTAGGAAGAACTTCCACGTTGAATATTCAGGTTTAGATGTGCAAAGCAAATCATTCTCAAGAATGGGAGGTAGAATTTGGAATAGCATTCCTACAGAACTACGTGAAAAATCAAAGAATCACTTTAAAAAAGTTTTACATAGAAAGTTACTTCAAATATTAGAAAAGAAAGACGACTATATTGATATTCTAACAATACAAAAAGAAATCGCAATAATCTAAAAGTTAAATTATTTTATGATCTTGAATTTAAGTCTGATCATTCGTTAGACATTATGTTTGTATATATGGTGAATGTATTTCTATCATATATATGCCTTTTGGTGAATAGAGCTTGTATTTACTAATGAATTTTTGAAATCTTCTTTAATTCCGAATGTGTGTAGTTGCTGTCCACCACGATTAGCTTTTGCTATTTGTGGCCAGCAACATTTTATTGATTTTGTAAATTAATTTGACTTGATAAATTGAATTGAATTGAAATTAAATAGAGTGTTATTTTGAAGGGTTAACCGCCATATATCGACATATACTTATTATATGCTATTTGAACGTCAGGGTTGGACAAAATCAACGAGTAAAAACGTCACAAAAGCATATAGTACGTAGATACAGCTAATTCAATTGAGGTTGTCCTTTCATGAAAGTCAAAACCCTCGACCTCTAAGCGGCAAAGGCAGGATGGGTTTGCATGCAAATTAATTCATACTTCTTAGACTCCGTAGTTACAGTTGCTACGTCCCACACTTGTTTTGCTTTTACGTAAAAAAGCGATTTACATTTACGAATTCCCGTGATTTTTACCTTATTCGCTCGTCTAACCTAATACAGAAGCAAACCCGGCAGAATTGATGGATTTTTCAACTTCGTAAACGTTGAAGAATGTTGGTTACGAGTATGTTTCACTCTGCTTTGTACGGAAGCCGTGAAGGGACTTCAGACTTCGGACTTCAGACTTCAAACATTGGTTCCGAGCTTCGCTGATAGCCAACATTGCTTTTGCGAAGCTGGCTAATATTTAAGGCACTTATTCAGTCAAAGCTATTCAAACTAAAGTCAAAAATGGTCAGAATGATTTAGACTGTAAATGCAGACTGTTGGAATGTGTCAAGTGAGTTCTTTGTAGGTTTGCAGGACGATAAAATATATAATACTATTATTTGTGGAAACACCACGTAAATTTATTACTGCAGTAAATTGATTAACTTTATTCTGTAATTTATTAAATTTACCACGTAAATTTATTACTTTAAATTTATTAATTTTATTATTATTATTATTATTATTATTATTTATCACATTTATTTATTATTTTTTATTAGTATGAAATTCATTAATTTTTTAGCGGTTCCCAGCAAGCCTTTTGCGCTCGTATTCGACTTTTCCGCTTTGGCGCTTCGCTTGGGGACAACCTTAATTGAAATAGCTGTATATAACATCATATTCCAACAGTCTCCATTTTAGTTCGAATAGCTTTGACTGAATAAGTGCCTAAGCAATGTTGGCTATTAGCGAAGCTCGGAACCAATGTTTGAAGTCTGAAGTCCGAAGTCTGAAGTGCAGAATAAAAAACCCATACAGAAGGGCGACTGACGTCGGAAGCTTTGAAGCTTCTGTCCTCGCGCATGTCGCATTACGCATGTTGGCCGACACGTTGCACCGCTGAGTGACCCTTCTGTTACTGATCTTTATTCTCAGTGTCTGAAGTGTGAAGTCCGAAGTGTGAAGTCCGAAGTGTGAAGTCCGAAGTGTGAAGTCCGAAGTGTGAAGTCCCTTCACGGCTTCCGTAGCTATGGGAATTCACTTGAACGATTTGCATAAATATTAGACATATACTTAATTAGGGGCGGACCATTAGAAAAGTGATGGGGGGGGGGGGGTACTTTTTCAACCTGTATGAATATTTTTTTAATTTTTTGCTTGTGTCGATAATTTTTGCTGCCGAGCCTCAGCGAGGCAGCACACTATTCTCGACGGTACCAGTCTCCGCGCTCCGAGTTTAGTAGACCAGCTTGAATCTCGATTTTTTGTGTTCGTATGTCAGCAATTCAGGGGAGTTACGAAAATTAATTACGCTTGCCGGGCGCACAGGAGGTAGTGACAGGAAGATGCACATGTGTTTCTTCCATATACTTCAAATACACAACCTGACGCTGAAGCAATCTACAAATTATGGCAATTGTTATGCGAGGGAACATTAGTCAAGGCGATGACTGTTTTGATGTTAAGTCTAGAGGTAAACGGTGTGCCTTTAATAGTTTACTGGGGCTCTTTATAAACAGCCTATAAAAAACCTTTTAGGCCGATCGCTTCTCATGGCCGAACGCATTAAAAACAATAGATAATCAGCTGATCTATTGTTTCTATAAATGTTTCGGCACATGAGAAGCACGACGTTTGAAATTAAAATATAGTATTTTATTACAAGGCGACAAAATGTATTAATAAAAGCGATGAATAATCTTATCACTTGATTCACTTGCTACCGGGTGTTGTGTATTTGTATAATGAGAAAAAACAACATCACGAAGGCAATATGGCATTAAGAATTATTTCCATTCTGACAAAATAACGTACGTTATTATGTGTTGCACTTTTCTGTCTTACACCGCAAGACAGTTGCGCTTCGTTGGGACTGTATACTATCAGAACAATACCATCGGAAATAGAACACACACGCGTACTTTAAAACATATTTATTTAAACTATTCAAACGATAAATACACTAACATAACAATCCTTCTGGGTTTCTCTCGTGCTTTCCGTCTGACAATCAATTCAAAGTCTAATATTTATGACATACGATACATTTCTTACGTCAATCAACTAAATCACCCATTGTTTGGTCTCCTACGGCGTTATCAATAGTATAATGTTACAAATTATTCTACACACTCCCCCCTTTGAGCCTGTAAGGGTCAAACATGACTTGTGTTCTCCAACGTGCATCCAAAGCTGCTGCTCTCCTAGGTCTATTACTATGGACACAGCTTTCCACCTTACCCTTCTCTCCGTCTTTCTCATTCATTTCCGTCTTTCCTTTCTCATTAATTTTCGTCTTTCCTTTCTGGTTATCGTACCCATCCACTTCATTTTCAACTTTATTATCCTTTCTTTCTTCCGTACTGCTTCCGTTCTCATTTAACTCTACAGGATACAATTTCTGAACTGGTCTATTAAGATATACTGGATTTCCTTTAGTCATCACTCTCACTTTCGCTCCTCGAACCACTTCATCTCTACCGACAATTAAACTCTCAATCCTACCTAACTTCCAAAATCCTCTCTTAAGGTTCTCGTCAAATACTAAAACTACATCTCCCTTCTTCACGTTACTATCCCTCTTCTCCCTCTTACTTCTATGATGCTCTCTCAAATTCGTCAAGTATTCTTTTCTCCATCTCTCCCAAAAGTGAACTCGCCAGTTTCGCTAGATGCCTAAACCTACGCTTAACCTTTGTCTCATCATTCTCTTCAATTTTGTAACTAGTCTCGTCTGGAATTAAACTCAATCTACGACCAAAGATCAAATGATTCGGTGTTAGTACATCGTTTTCAACCTCATCGTAAATGTAGGTTAACGGTCTAGAATTCAACGTGCCTTCAACCTCAACTAAAGTCGTCAACAGTTCTTCGAATGTCAACTTGGCATTCCCCAGCACCTTACGTAAACACCTCTTCACCAAACCAACCAACCTTTCAAAGAATCCTCCCCACCAAGGCGCTTTCTCTAAATTAAACTGCCATTTCACACAATTATCTTGCATATAAGCTCTCACATTCCCGCTCTCGTACAACTTCTTCACTGCTTTCTGTGCCGCCTTAAAAGTTTTAGCATTGTCTGAAACAATAAGCGTCGGTGCCCCTCGCCTGCTTGCAAATCTCCTCAAACAGTTCAAAAAACTAGG